AATATTTTTCCATGTAATCATGGAAAATGCTGACCTATGTAACTTCAAAGGTCAAATCCAGTTCTAAAAACTCCTCTGGCTCTGAGTCTAACTCAAAAATAGCATCTTAAGTACCTAAGACTACTTCACTGTCCATGTCAAAGCCTTCTGGAATCAGCACATCTCCCTTCCCAGTGAACCCACTGTGAGCCCACATCCTTCCCAAGCTGTCAGCCTCAAAAAACTCTATCAAAGAACAGAGCAAATCCTCAAGTTTGCAAAAGAGATTCATGACTTTTTTACCTGCAGGGAGACCCGCTATCTGTAGATGTTGACCCAAAGCATCCCCAGGGCTCAGGCTGACTTTACTTACTCACTCAGGATGTTCAGCTTGCTGGGGCCAAATGAAATCCTAGTTCCATTTAGAAAACCTCACTAAACACCCATCACAAATCTATCAACTCTCTTTCTGCTGCTTTCAAACCAGTTTCCTTCCTTTCCTGTGCCTGTGCAGGCTGCAGGGGAAGAGTGTGTGACATGGATAAAAACATGCTGTGCTGTAAAGAGCAAGCACATGTTAATTCTAAATGACTTAATTTTGATAGCCACATCAACAAATGCAAAACAAACAGATATCTACCCTGGCTGGTGTGGCTCACTTGGTTGAGCATCGTCCCATGCATGAAGAGGTTACTGGTTGATTCCTGGTCAGGGCACATGCCCAGGTTGTAGGCTCAATCCCCAGTAGGGGATGGGCAGGAGGCACCCAATACATGTCTCTCCCTCTCTCTACTTCTCCCTTCCTCATTCTCTAAAAATCAAGTATATTTTAAAAAATAAAATAAACAGGTATCAAATTAACATGTCCAAACTGAGCCCACTGCTTTCCTCCCACACTACCTCCTTCTCCTGTGTCCACCACCTCAATGAGCACACCACAGCCACTGTCACCCACACCTAAACCAGGCATTATACTAATATCTCCTCCTTCTCCCATTGCCTCCCTCCATATTTTTTAAAATATATACTTATTGATTTCAGAGAGGAAGGGAAAGGGAGGGAGAGATCGAAACATCAATGATGAGAGATAATCACAGATCGGCTGCCCCCTGCATGGCCCCCACTGGGGATCGAGCCCGCAACCCGGGAATAAAACTGTGACCTCCTGGTTCCTAGGTCCACCCTCAACCACTGAGCCATGCCAGCCGGGCCCCCCGACTCCATATTAAACAATGCCACTTTCTAAGTATTTCTTGAATCCATTCTCTCCTCTCCATCCCTACCTCATTGCAGGTCTCTCCAAATCCACTCTGTCCCCACTGATCTGCTCTCTGCACTGCTGAGTTGATCTAAGTGCAGTCTGACCATGCCACCCCTCAATGTTAAAATATTCAGTAGCTTACCATCATCTCTCTCTAGTGTGGCCTACACACTCCTTTTAGTCACAGAACTCCTTTACTCAAGGTGAAATCTTTTTTCTTTTTTTTAAAATATATTTTATTGATTTTTTTACAGAGAGAAAGGGAGAGGGATAGAGAGTCAGAAACATCGATGAAAGAGAAACATCCATCAGTCGCCTCCTGCACACTCCCCACTGGGGATGTGCCCGCAACCAAGGTACATGCCCTTGACCAGAATCGAACCCGGGACCGTTGAGTCCGCAGGCCGACGCTCTATCCACCGAGCCAAACCGGTTAGGGCAAGGTGAAATCTTATTTAAGGGTTGCCACATGTAAAACAGGAAATTATAGGTCACTCTGCCTAAGGTAGAGGGTCCGTCTCAGAGCCTAAATTTGGTTTCTCCATCTCCATTCATAAAAGGAGTTCCTTGGGAGCAAGGACACCCCTGCTTTACAGTGTAGCAGAACAATAGCAGGAAGTGGGTGGGGCTTTCACTCTTGCTCCTGAATTAATAACTGAGCAGGAAGAGACAAGCAGTAGGCACCTACATTCTGGAGAAGACCACACACAATTAGGGCAGAACTCCGCACCAGGCCCTGATAGCTACCATCAGCCACCACCCCACCCCTCTTCCCAATCTATAAATATAAGGCAAGTCACAGATGTACATACATGTCAAAACTCACCACATTGTACATTTTAAACATGTGCAGTTATTCCTATGTCAATTATACCTTAATAAAACTTTAAAAGGGGAGGGGCAATGAGTTATCAGCAGTGTCATGTTTGTAGAGAAATACTGCCTCTGAACACTGCAAAGCCAGTAGGCGGTGCTCCTCTAGGAGTGAGGAGTGTCTGTAGGATGGGGAGATTGGCTATACACCTGTTGAGCTGAAAATCATAGTGTGGTTACCTCCATGAAGGTACAGAAGATAGTCCTTTGGAGAGCTAGATTTGGGAACAGGTATGACCTCAGACATGGGTCCTCACCTTTTGCACAGGCTGGTTGGAACTGCCAAGTCAGCAAGGCAAGGAGAGGCTACAGTGATCACAGTCCCTTGTGGCTCATTCGAGAATTCGGGTGAAGGATTATGGATCGATGGGGGATCATGGGCTACCAAAGGAAGGAAAAGGTTGGGAATTAAGGGTATTCCTGGCTTAAAATCTCAGCTGGCTTTCTCTCTGAGGAATCTTCAATAATTAACAGCCCTCCTCCCCAACAAAGCTCCAAGGAAACCAGCAACAAAGGTCACCAGCAACACACAGAACCAGGTAAAGTCAGAGTGAGAAGAAGGCACCTCCCCTCCACCAACAGCAGCCAAAGGGGCCAGGCCCCGAAGGTTGGAAGAGAGGAGATGTCCTTGAAGCTAACCTACACCCTTCCCCACTCTCAGCAAACCCAAGGCTGCCCAATTCTGGGAATGGGAAGAGATGAGATTTGGTTTGAGATTGGAATGTTAAACCAGCCTACTTGTACTAGACTGACTGTCCTTATTCCCTTTTAAAAATTATTTCAAAAATACACAAAAGTAGAAAGAGCAGTGTAATAAGCCCCTAGATCTATCACCCCTCTGCAAACATTATCAACTAATGGCCAATTCTGTTTCATCTATACTGACTTCCAACCAATCCCAGATTATTTTGAAGGAGATCTCAGACATCATATTATTTTACCCATAAATATTTCATTATGTCTCTCTAAAAGATACCAACTCATATTTTAAACATTTTTAAAAATATATTTTTATTGATTTTTTACAGAGAGGAAGGGAGAGGGTTAGAGAGGTGGAAACATCAATCAGCTGCCTCTTGCACACTTCCTACTGGGGATGTGCCTGCAACCAAGGTATATGCACTTGACCGAATCGAACCTGGGACCTTTCAGTCCGCAGGCCGACACTCTATCCACTGAGCCAAACTGGCTAGGGCCCAACTCATATTTTAAAAAATATAACCATAATAATGTCATCACAACCTAAAGAAACACAGGGTGGCCCTAACCGGTTTGGCTCAGCGGATAGAGCGTCGGCCTGTGGACTCAAGAATTCGAGGTTCGATTTTGGTCAAGGGCATGTACCTTGCTTTCAGGCACATCCCCAGCCCGGGCCCTGGTCGGGACACATACAGGAGGCAACCAATCGATGTG